AAGTGACGGCTCACCTCCTCGCAGGGCTGGTCCCACTGTGACCTCACCCACCACCGCTCCCCTTCCCTGACCAATCACCTGCATGATTGGCGACCAAAAGTCACCCCCACCTAGAAGCAGATCAGCTATCGGGGAACAGCCAGAACCGAGGACCATACCTGCTGGTGGGTCCACTGCATCCACAGGGAACAGCAGGATGCCGACTACCCCCCAGGAGGTTCACTCTATGGGGGCTTCTTCCCTTTGACACCTTGTGCTTTAAGTCTGAATGTGCAAACCAACATTTCCCTCCATGGGGTCTGAGGAACCTGAACTCCATCCTGAGATGCTCCTGGAAAGTAGAAATGACAAGGCTAGGCAGTGGGCAAAGAAAGCAGAAGGTGTTTTCAGGTTTTACTCAGGCCTTTCTCTAGCTGGCAGAAGAGACTGAAGGAGGCAGTTTTGGTTTCTGCAGAGATGGCTTGCTGTGTACACAGAGTTGGTATCACCAATACCCAGCCTGGGGTGGAGGGGGTATCAGAACTGCAGTGGGGAGGCATGAGGAGAGAAAAGAATCAGTTCAGATTTGATCCCTCCCTTTCTCAACTCACATTTCCAAAAGACTAAGTACTATCCCCTTTTCTCCATCACCACTGTCTCTGTCTTAATGTCTTAAGTTCAAGCCCTTGTCATCAATCTTGCCAATTACTCTAAGGGACTCATTTTTCTACTCCTAATTTCATATTCCACATAGCCCATGGAGTTACCATTTTAAAATACAGACCTGACCCTCTCTCCCTTAATGAAAACTCCAGCCTACAAAACAGTGTCTAGCCCTGGCAGGGCACGGCCTCTGCCTGCAAAGACTTCAGAGCCACACAGACCACAGCTGACACAGTAACCTCTTGCTGGCTGTGGACACACAGGTGTTTCTGTGCCCATTTGCCCATCCATACATCAGGAACACCATCAACCTCCAGAGCTGCTGTGACGATTAAATCCAAGTTCCAGAGAGCACAGCCCTGCAAGAACACTCTCTACCTGTTCCAACCTGGTTCCCGAGTCTGTGCACATCACCACCTCGTGTAGTACCTCTTCCTAATGCATTACTATGAATTAGCTCAACAGATAAGAAGGTACTTCCGGAGATCTAAAAATTAAGTGCCATAAAGCATAAGAATTAGGCTATCAAAATGTGAAAGAAATCAAAATTAACTCATTACCAAAATAATGTGCGAAGAGGGGAAGGAAGAGAAGGAAAACATTACTTTGGGGAGATAATGCTTTTAAAATACATAGCTTTATGACTGTTTGGACTTATTTGTTCCAAAGACTTGGGAAGACTGCATTTCAAAAGCTCACAAAGGAGACACTCCTACTTTTTTTTAAACCATTTCTTAATTAATATCTTCAGAGAACTAAGAAGCACTTTTTTTTTCTAGGCTGACTGAATTGTAATAAAATTCTCAGAGAAATTCAGGCATCAGTCACAACAAACACCCTCTTGGAATTTAATTTCCTTTTCAGCACACAACTTACTACGGAAACTCATTTATAATGCCACCACAACCAGTCAAAATCTGCCTGGAGCACAAAAACTACAAAGCCCCAAAGAGAGCTTTATAGGACAAGATGGAAACTGGCCCCATATCTAACCAAATCCTACATCTAACTGAGATTTCCCTACACCAAACTTTCCAGCTTTTTCTGTTAGATTCGACTCCTCCCTCTCCTTCCCAGCCTGTAACTGCCCTGCCCTCCCACCTCACACTAGAGTCCTTCCAGTGCCATCTTCCAGCTAGAAAACCCCCAAATTTGTTTTCTTTTTGCAGTCCAATGAAATGAATAAAAAAAAGGAAAGAAAGGCACAAAACCGGCAAAGGGCAATGAGCTACATCCATCTTCAACTTATCAAAGACTTGTCCTTTCTGGCTTTGGGTTTTGTTCAATCCCCTCCTTCGAATTGATTGCAGGGCCTGGAATATTCATTTTGTATGTTGTGGGCTGGATGGGAAGGCAAAAAAGCTGGAAGAATTATTCATAAGTACAAAAATGTACTTGAAAAGCCTTTTTCCCTTGAGGACAATCCCTACTGGGAGACTTAATCAATCCCATTATCCTTGGTGCCTGTGAACAAAGGGAGAGAAAGGGGTGGATGCTAACCTTGACTGAGAGCCCTCTGCAATTCAGTTACATCTCATCTAATTTAAGGCCCATGACATTACCCTATTTTCACATATAAGGAAACCGAGCTCAGAGGGGTCAGGCAATTGGCTCAGGATATACACCCATGCCCATCAGACACTAGGATTCATGGATTCCTAAGATTTCAGTGTCCCCAAATGCTTATGTTAAAATACTGTCCCAGTTTGGACAGCACTTTACAGTTTACCTGTTGCTTTTCAAATACACTATCTCATTTAATATCACTACCCTGCAGGACAGCTGCAAATTACTTTCCCACTATTACAAAACACTATTTGGTTTCAAAGATCATCAGCAAACTAACACAGAGCAGTGCCCTGAGGTTTGCTTTCTTGCCTCACAGCTCCTGATAAATGGTAGAGGCTCATATGGTAGCTATTATTAGCACCATGATTTTTATCAATTTAGCAGCCCGCGGTTCAAGCAAAATTTACACACACACACACATATATATATACATATATACTACAGATATTTTAAAGATTCAACTTAATTAGTTAAGCCTTTCCTTGTTGGACAGGATATGATTTCACCACTACCTCAAATCAGAGATAACCACTAACTATAGCTTCCAAGAAACTGACAAGAAAGGATTACTTAAAAAGATGTGGCCGAACCCAGTATAGATTTTGAAAGCTACTAATGGAAGAAAACAGAAGAACAGGAGCATTCAGTTATAAGAAAACACACACAAAAAAACAAAAAAACCCTCTTCTTCTAGCACCATGGCTTGATCATTAATATGCTTTTGGCACAGCCATATCCTTTCAACTCTGTGATGACCCTCAGCATCTAAAACAGGAGAGCCAGCAGGGGATGGGAAGTTCTAGTGAGAGGCTGCCCAACGAGTATGGGGAATAGGGGTGGGGTAGACACATTTATTACCTCAAGCTATTTTTAATGTGCTGCATCTAATGCACTGTTTGCCTGTTAATTGCACTCACTTGAAAAGAAACCTGTGAAATTCAGAAATGCCAGATGAGAGAGGAAACAGCTCACTTCTCAAGCCACAAAGGAAAAGATGACAGAAGTGTAGTGGTACGAGGATTCCAGCATCCATCAGACAGAAGAAAATCTATGGTTTTATAACAAGAGATCCAGGGGATGAAATTCCAGGAAGGCAGCACCCAAGACCAATCCAAGTGGGCATCCACTCCACGCTTAAATGTTAAAATAAAACACTCAGGTCCACAGGTCTGATACAGGAAATTTTCTTCAAACACAGTTAATAACTTTATAGTAAAGACAGCGGGAGAGCCATGTACATCAATTACCTGCATAACAGGGTTCATACTGTAAATCTAGTACCAATTACTAGTTTTTGGTTTTCTTTTGCTTTTTGCTTCTTATTTTAAGTCCATCCTAATTTCTTATAAAAATAGGCAGAGTTTGATTTAGTGTGGCTGATCTAGTCTCACAAGTAAAAAGATTGCAGTCTCCCTCAGAAACTTACCCCTGCCTCCATCGGATTGCCTAGCTCTCATTATATTCACTTTCACAGATAAGAAAACTGCAGGCAAGAGGGCAAGTGACTCATCCAAGATCACATTCCTTGCTAATGTATGTAGGACTAGGGCTCAGGAAGCCCACAGTGTGGGTCTCCAGCTCTAACACTGTCACAAGCGCCCTGGCATACTTGTGTCTGGAATACAAAGTTTTTTTTTTTTTTTAAAGCCAGCATGAGTCATCTTCATTGTCAAGGGGCACCACACAGGTTGTTCTAATAAAGTATCTAGCATCTCCAGAACCACTTGTTCTGAAATAACCAACCCCAGCCAGAGAATAAAAGGCCTTGTCTTACAGCCCTTCAGGATACCCATGACCCTGTGAGCAGATGGGCAACTGCGCTTTGGGGACCTGCTAACACAACACAGGGAATGCTGGTGCATGGCAGTACTGGAGAGGGAAGGGGTCGGGTGTGTGAAGGAGGTCCGCGGTGCTTTCAGACATCTCTGGGGACAGTTATGATGTCATGCAGATGGATCCTACTCACCTTGGAACCCCTAAATGTCTCATCCACTCAGGGGTCCCTCAACTTCCCCAGAACAAAAGCCCTGCAGTCTGGGAGGTGACTCCGGCGACGGGGAGGGGCCAAGTGCCAGAGGAAGTAATGCTTAGCCCTCTGCCACCCTTAGGGAACTCCCCACAGGCTCCCCAGACACCAGGGGCGTCCCCAGCTCCGAGCCTGGGCCAGAGAGTCTCTTAGAGTCTGCCCCAACAGAGGCGGGTGGAGGCAAAGCCGACTGGGCTTCGGTGTAGCAGCAGCTCGCCCTGGCGCTCGGCCCCCAGTGCTCGCCCCACGTAGCGCCTCCGACCCTCTGCACCGCAGGGACCCCGCCGGACACTTGTCCACTCCAGCCCCAGACCCTGGGCGCACCCCTCTCTCCCAGTACGCGGAGGACCCCGTCTCCCGCCTTCCCAAACGGGGATCCCGGCCGCCCGCCTTCTGCCTCCCGCCCAGGACGCCCTCTCACCGCGTTCCTCCTGCCCCCCGGAGTCCGCCCCACACCCGCACTTCCCGCCCGCCTAACGCCGGCTTGCGGTCCGCCCCAACTTTTCCCAGCCGCAGCCCCGGCCCCCGCAGCAGCGGGGATTCCGCGTCCCGCGCCGAGACTGGCGGGCGGGCTCGCGTCCCCTCCGCCCCCGCCCGCCCCGCCGGCACGAGTTGCGCTCGGGACCCGCTGGGAGCCCGGGCCTCGGCCGTCAGCGCGGCGCAGAGGCGGAGCCGGCGTGGCGGGAACCGCGCTGTCCCGGCGCCGGCGCCCCGGCCCGGTGCCCGCGCCGCCCCCTGCCCACCTGCCCGCGGCGCCGCTCACCTCCTCGCGCGCGGCCGCCCGCTCTGCCGGGAATACGTGGCAGTGGCCGCCGCCGCTCGCGCTCCCCGCCTCTCCTCTCGGCGCCCGCGCGGGCGGCTACGGCGCACCGGACCGCAGCGCCAGGCGCCCTCTGCCGCCGGGAAGCCGCATGCTCTCGCCCTAACCCTAACTCGCCGGCCGCCCCGGCCAGCCCCGCCCCCGGCCAGCCCCGACGCTCGCTTCCTAGTGGGTCCCTGCGTGCTGGGCCCCGGGCCCGCCGCTGCCTCCGGGGAGCCCGCCCTGACCACCCACCTCCGGCTCTCGCGCAGCCGCTGCAAGTCATCCCCGGGTTGCACGTTTCCTGCTTCTCTGAACGCCTCGCCCACGAGATAGTAGTACAATGGGGGTGGGCAGAGAGCGGAGAGCAAACATCTCCAGTGTTCACCGTTCTCTCCTAGGGCTGGGTTAGCGCCTTGCCTGGAATACCCAAACGCGCAATAAATACTTCTGGAGGGAGCGGAAAAAGTGAATGAATGAGTAGAGGCTGTTGCTGTTCTCCACGCAAGTAGGCTTTTAAACCTCGAGCGGTCAGATACCCTGACCTGGACTTGCTTTTTGTAAATTACACACACGGGTGCGCAGCTCTGAATGAATAAATGGGATGCACATTTTCCCACCTCAGATCAGCACCAAAGCTTGCACAAAGCCCACAGCCGAACGTTATTTAGGTTTCTGAGTCAAATAGACTTAGCTTTTAGTTCTCACTTAAAAGCGGGGAAATCTGGGGAATGCTAATTTCCCTGGGCACAGTTACTTCATCTATAAATTCAGAATAATAAAACCTACTTCATAGGGTTGCTGTGGGGATCAGTTGAGATCATGCGTTGTATGTAAAGCACTTTGCACAACCGGCACCTCCAGTACACTGTAGTACCTAATGGTAGCTATTGTTATTATATTACTGTTCCAGAAGGTAATAAAAACTGTAGGTAAAATAATGACTGTCTAATCGCCTGAGGACAACCTTAATACCCTTGTTCTTGAGGCAGTCACCTGTCCAATAGAGCCAGCCCTGGGAGCAAGGCCTCTCCAGGCCTGCCTCTCCCCACCCCCAAGGATTAACTGCTCTTGTTTTTTAAGAGCTGTAGCACCGGCTCTCCTGCAGGCTTGCCACCTGGGTTTCCGTGGTCAATCTCTAATAACAAGTGTTTGTTTACTGCAAAGGCGGTGAACGGTTTGAAGTCCCCTGCCGTCTAGTGCGTCTTCCTGTTTCCTTCTTGCCCCTCTCTCAGCACCTTGAGGCCATCTTTTCACTTTTGACAGTGTCTCCTTTCAGCTGCAACATAGAGGAGCAGTGAGTACAGTAAGGCAGCGTCAGAGGGGCTGGACAGGAATGGGAGCCCACCTCCCTTGGGCTTTCTGAGCCGCAATCCCCTCAATTGTGAGCTGTGGAGAAGAACGTTTATCTGTGACATTAAGAGAGACCTGGTAATCCTGTCTATGAGCAAAATCCCTGGAATACATAGGTGTTTAATAAAAGGCAGCTATTGATTAGTTTATCTAACCAGCATTTAGGGCACACCTGCTGAGTGTTGTAGGTGCTGGAAGGTTGAGGGAAACAAACCAAGGTGGGCTAAGATCCTTGCCCAAAAAGGAGTTTGAGGTCCAGTGGGTGAGACAGGCATGTACATACTGGGGTAGAGGGACTGGGGGACATGGATGCCACTGAATATTAAAATAGCAAACCTCACGTTCCGATTGAAACAGTGGTATTTTGGTGTAGATTGCTCTAATTCCTTATAATTGTAAATGCCATTTTCCTCTAAGTATTATGTACATAACTTTCCAAGGCCACTGCTAAAAATTAATGAATAATTTTATGAGGCAAGCAGAGCCATTTGATGTAGGATTCAGTCCCTTAATAAGGTGATTCCAAGTGCTTCCTTATACGGGTAATAACATGTATATTATGTCTCTGAGTAAGCACCATAATTGATAAATTCACGTTGCATATCTTGTGATGCATGTCTAAGAAGGAAAGTTCACACATCATTTCCCTAATGACCTATCATGAATCATCCCCAGTGTCCATGCCCTTGGGATAGCCCCCTCCCACACTGACCCTGGGCTTGGCCACATGACACACTTTGGCCACTGGGACTTAAGCAAATATGGTAAAACAGGCATTCGATGAGCACTTGTTCCTTGTTCATTGCTCTCTTGGAATGTTGTGATGGAAGTGAAGAAATCTGGTCCGACCTCCCTGAAAATGGAAGCCTCCAAGCTGAGAGAGCCTCGCCCTCCCAGTTGTGCCGGCCCCCAGCCAACCCACCAGTGGAATGCAGCCACCTGCGTGAGCCCAGGCCAGACCAGCCAAAAAATGACCCAGCCAACCCAAGAATTCTGAGAAATAAAGAGGTTGTTGTTTAAGCCACTAAGTGTTTGGGGTGACTTCTTATCCAGCAATAGACAATTGATGCACACATCACACACAGGCAAGTCAACATTTACAAGGTCTTGGGGAAATTGCCCCAGGAGTCACATGGCTACTTTGAAAGGGAAAGTTGTACCCAAGAGTCTACCTGGCTACTGAGCCTAGTGTTATTTAAAATCCTTTGGCAGCCAGCGTGATAATGATCTGGCAAAACCAAATTATAACCTGCTTTAAGTATTATCAGTCCTTGGACCACAACAGATGTTACAGAGGTCAGTGTGTTTATCTCTCCCACTTTTTTGTGAACTTAATGATGACTACCTTGTTTCATCTGATCAGATTCCACACTAGATCACAAAACATCAGAGAAGGTAGAGAAGTTAGAGATTAGGTAATCCACCACCTCATGATATAGATGAGGAAACAGGTTAAGAGAAATTGTAAAACTTAATAAATCACTAGGGTACTGAACTTGGCTCAGAGCAGTGTTGGGATGACCAATTCAAATTTCTGGATGCTGTTTGTTAGATCATTCTGTCTTGCCTTTATGACTTTTGTTGCTACTAAAACTATCCTCCCCATGTTCAGAACATCTTCACAGCTTTCCTTTGCATTCAGGACTAAGCCCAAACTCAATCTGGCCCCACGAGGCCTGGTGCAGCTTGCCCCTCTGGACATATGAGTTCTGCTCAACCTCTCGCTCAGCCCTCTCTGCCCACTCTGGGTTTTTCTGTCCTTAGATCACTCCACCCAAGTTTCCAAGCCTTGAAAGAAAGTCAGTGTGACCTAGCTTGGTCACAGGTCCCATGCCAGACTACCAAGAACAGGAGGACTCTTGAATGAAATCCCCCAAACATAATCATCTGGGTGTTGTTTCCAGAAGAAGAGAAGGTGGAAAGAAGACGACAAAGACCACAAATGCCCACTATGTCATCTCTCAAATCTTAGCTTAAATGTTACTCTCGCAGGGGAAAGTAACTGTTCTTAATCACTCCATCTGTTACACTCTCCTGACATTTCTTGTTTTTCACTGTCCTTACCACATTTTGCAATTACATATTTATTTGTTTCTGTCATGTTCTCCCTCCAGGAGAGAAGAGACTGTGCTTGTTTGCCCTTTACTATATCCTGGTCACCTGGCATAGATCCTGGTGCATAATCCACTCTCAATAAATACTGAATGAATGAATGAATGAATAATATAGGCCTTGTGAATCTTCTGACTCAGTCCACATGTCATTACCTTTATAGGAATGGGTAAAAAGACAAAGAGAATATGGCTGAGTACAGGTTTGTGGAAGTTATGCCATGCTGGGTCCCTGTGTGTCGCTGGGAAGAGGACAAGGTCTCACACTCAGGATAAAAGAGGAAACACTAAGTACGTTGTGCATCAGAGATACGTCATGTTGTGCTGTGCTCTTCTGTAATTTATCTTAAGGGATAAATTACACAAGCAGTGATGCAAGGTGGGTGCAAAGGCCACATATCTAGAATGCTGCAGTCTGCGTGCCTGAGTGTGTACTGAAGTAAGAGCCTCAAAACTGAGATCAGCAGCGCGTGTTCATAAACCTGCTGCTCCCTGGGTGCCATCCATGCCTGGCTGCGTGGTTTCTACAATAGATGTTTCCGTCTCCTCTGCTGATGGCCACAAGTCCATGGAGAGGTTTTTGTCACTTGGGCAAAATGAGAATAATAAGGGTAATATAATGCTAAATGTGTTCTTGTAATGTTACTGGCCCGTGCAATCTGAAAACTTCGGAAATGACCACTTTACAGTCTCAGGGACCCAGGCAGTCCCTGCAAAGATTTGGCAGACTCAGTACACCATCACTGAATCGTCTGTTGTTGCTATTGCTTTGGTAACATTCACCCAGCCTCTGTTTCCTCAGTCTACCAGGCAGTCATATTCGTCCACGGGGTAGAACATAGGGCTAAACAGGCTTCCCTCCCAGGACTGCGTCCGTAGCCATGGCCCTGACGTTGTCCTGTCGGGAACGGAGCCCTGCGCTTCAAGTCTGGTCAACAGCCTGTGTGTGTGCTTGTGGCATGGCAAGTCCTTCTTAGGTCACCAACAGTGTTCCACCAAAGGGGACTGAATTAACCCGAAGGGAAGGTATTGCTTTTTAATCCCTATTTCACAAAAGAAGAAACTGGGCCCTAGAACATGTAAGTAATCTGCTGAAGACTTAGCTGAATTCAGAGTTCAAACCATTAGCCCCTTTGGCAAGGTTTCCCACAAAGGGTGCTCCATTAGTGTTAGTTGAAATTAAATCTGATGTGAATTCCCAGGAGCCTGACATGAGAAAGACTCTTGGAGAACTAGAAAAGGGATGGAATTTATCTTCCCTAAGCAGAAAGAGGGAAATATCCAACTTCTTATACTTGAGAAGTAGTGTAACGTTAAGTCCCATACATCTACATTTCCAGCAGAAGCTAGCCTACCCATTTTATACACTTAGCTGGAATTTGAATTCCTCAGAGAAAATACTAAGTATCAAGTACTATAATAAAAACATCTTTTCTTCACTGGTTGTAATATCATATGTATTTTGTTTTTTTAAACAGACTTTGAATAAAATTATACCTATTCAATTCTACCATAAAGATACCTTGCTCATTTTCATAAAGCTATGAAATCCCATAGAAGGAAGTTTTAAGATTTCTGCATTCATTTGTACAAAGACACTGGAACACTAATGGAAAGTTCCACCAAGATCTTCATGCTCTCTGCTTCTGATTTTATGACACTGAAATCTCCAGCTAAAGGCGGGGAAGGGCTCCGTCTT